AATATATATATATATATATATATATATATATAATATATATTTAAAAAAGAGACTGTGTGAAAGCTCAAGAATTCACGAGTGCAAGACAAGGAGAAAAAACAAGAGAGAGACAAGGAGCTTGGAAGCAAGAGAGAGTTCTCCCAATTAGAGGGCTATGGGCTCCCTGCAGTGGGGGCTTCTGCTCAGCTGCCTGGGCTATGGAATCTTGCCTGGAGTCTGGGCTCAGTTCCCCCGGGTCTGCATGACAGTGGGCAGCCTGGTAAATAAGGAGTGCTGCCCGTCCCTGGGCGCAGAGCTGGCCAACATCTGTGGCTCTCAGGAGGGCCGGGGTCAGTGCACGGAGGTGCAAGCGGACACCAGGCCCTGGAGTGGTCCTTACCTCCTGCGGAACCAGGATGACCGTGAGCAGTGGCCAAGAAAGTTCTTCAACCGGACCTGCAAGTGCACAGGTGAGACCCCGATGGGCAGCCTTGACCGACACTTCACCTGGGAGAGGGGCTCTTTCTAAGAAAGAGGTGAGCTCATTGATAGATACTGCTGGACTAGGCTTTGAAAGGCAAACCAGGTACGTTCCTGGTATTGAGCAAGGCCGATGTCTCGGTTAGATCCTTCGCACCCTCTGGGACATGCATCTAGGAGAGCTAAACCAACATTAGTCAGGCAGGCCTGGCTATCTGAATGAATGCCAGCATACCACTGGCTTGTTTCTTTCAAGGGGCACATTAAGGAGCAGACAAGTAAGCGTGGAGACAAAACAAGTTCTTTCAGGATGGATTCTGTGCCCTCTCCTGAAATGGGTTTGCACATGTCAAAGAGGGGGTGGGCGAGGTCTGGTTTCAGAAGACAGAAGGCAAAGTCCTGGTTTCAGTGTTCCTCATGATTTGAACAGGCCTTAAACTGGATACGTCTTTCCCCTTAAAGCGGTGACCGGGCTGTAACTTTGCCAGAGTTGGAAAGTTGTGGCAAGACAGAGCTTCCTTAGCGGGCTTCCAGATAACAATGGCTTCTTTCACTCTCTTCTGGGTTTGAGCCGGGCATTACAGTTTGTTTAGTGTCCCTCCGTTAGACCGTAGTCTCTTTTATGCCTTTTTCTTGGAAACGTCTGTGCATTTCTTATTGCTCTGGCTCTTCTGGGCCTTCGTAGACCCCACTCAGTCGTCCTTGCCTCTGTGGATGGTGATGACAAACACTCGGGCTGACAGGGCTTTCGAAACACCCAAATCACAGCAGCAGCTTCAGCAAAGCCCTCGGACACTGTTCTGTGGTGGTGGGCTGCATTCCAGTTCTTCCTTCTTAAAATGTTTTACTTCTGTTCTCATATGATGCTAGAACACAGGAGAATGTAGGTAATTGAGCTACCTACAGATACAAAGTGGTATTACTCAGGGAAGGCCCAGAGGTCTGCGATGGCCTCTTGATATAGAAATGACACTTGACTTGGGTTTTTAACATTGTAAGTTCTGGCTTTATAATCAGTTTGTAGTAACAGTCTAAATCTTGTGAGTCAAAGGAATTCTTAGGTCCTAATTTTGCTCTGGGTATTAATTGTGATAAAATTTTAAAATTTAATATTGAACATCTATTATCCATTTTTTTTTTCATAAGCCATTTCAGCTTTTGCTTCTATAGACACGGACTCGAAGAATTCTCTCGGTTTTATTCGATCTAATGAGGAGCTGCAGGTTTCAGATTTTGTGTGATTAGAAATACACTAACACAGTACCCTTTTGGTCCAAAACCCTTGAAAATACATCTAGAGCAATTATTACCATGTTGATCGATGATAAAGTGCGCAGCTTTCAAAAGTTGAGACTCTTCGTTTTCTAGACTCCTAGAGCAGAAGATACTAGGACATCAGGTATAATGTTAACTCTTCTTATCATCAAATCCTTTCTAGTGCTGACCTGCTTTTATTTATTTGTTTATTTGTTCATTAAAGTTGGGAATGGAAAGGACAATGATGGTAGATGAAAAGGAGTAATTACTATTTCCCTTTGCTGAGGGAATGTTTATAAGTATTCCTCCTAAGTAACTGGAACTTAGGGTCATAGTAACCTACTTTCCTTTTTTAAAAAAAAATTGCCAGAGGACGTGTGCGCTCACCAAGGACACACACACACACACACACACACACACACACACACAGAGTCAGAGACAGAAAGAGAGAAACAGGGAAAGATAAAAGTGACAAACCACTCCTCTACACATACACACACACTCATAGGGCATGATTATGCTGCAACCCTTTCTTCTCAATTTCTTTCTCCTTTCTGGATTTTTGGGCCCACATATATCCACACCTGGTGTGTTTCCCAAGCTGCCAGGTGTGGAACTTGAACTGCAGAATTGGCCCTCTGGGATCCAACCGTATTAACCACCAGGCCATAGGCTGCCCCAGTGAACAACTTTCAAAGCATAAAGAAGGATCTCCAGGGCCACCTCTACGGCCTGGTAGTTGAGGAAGTCAGATCCCACGTGGCCAACTATGTCGTTTGACTCCCAGCTCTAGAGACTGGAAAAGTGCCGGGCACGTGTGCATGCATGCCCCAAACCCCAACAGGATGCAGAAATGGAGAAGGGATTATGGTATGACCATACCCCGTTGGGGAGTGCTTTCTCTTCTGTGACAAGCATGCACACCTACTGGCAAATTAACAAAAAGGGTGGAGGTTTAGAATCTCTAGCTCTGAAAAGACAATGAGCCAGAAATAAGGTTAGTCCTCTAAGTCCAAGCCGTAAGGACATTGCATGTCCATAGGCCAGTCCAAAGAAGCAGGGCTTCCTCCAGGTGTGTGGTCTCCACCCCAGCGACTGTCTCAGGTCCCACCCCCAGACTGGCTAGCACCTCTCTGTGATTTGCTCAATGAGTGCAGACTCAGGACCGTAGCACATTTCATACCAACTTTTTCTTTTCTTAAGTAAATTCTTCTTTTCTTAAGATTTACTGTATCCATCAATTTAATTTACTAAATTTTATGCTTTTCCAGCTTTGTTGAGGCATAAATGCTATTAAAACACACACACCCATAATGGATAGATACAATTCGGTGCAGCGGGACATAATACGCTCATGTCATCATCACCACGATCGAAATAAAAATGTGTCCATCATCTCCAAAGATTTTTCTTTTTCTTTTCTTTCTTTCTTTCTTTCTTTTTTTTCTTTTTTTTGTGAAATCATGAATGTAGTTTTAATACCTCAACACATTCTCCATCATGGACCTTAATTAAGGATCAGTACATAGCAAACAAAGGTTTCCTTGTGTCTCTTTGCTTTTTCTTTTCGTGGTAAGAAGGTGTACTACGAGGTCCACCTTCCTACATGTTCCGAAGTGCACAATTTCTTGTTGCCACATCTAGGCATGACGTTGTGCAGCAGATCTTGGAGCTCCCTCATCCCAGACCACTGTTAAACAACTCCAGTCCCCACTTTCCCACCCCTGGTAACCAACATCCAATTGTCCGCTTCTGTACTTCTGCCTATTTTAGAGGTCTTATTTTAAACAAATCAGTATCTGTCTTTCTTTAACAGATTTATGTCACTTAATAAATAAAATGTCTTCCAGGTCCATCTATGCTGTCACAAATGGTAGAATTTTGTTCTTTTGTTTGTTTGTTTCTTTCTTTGCATTTACTCCAAGCATGAGTGTTCTCTGGAGAGAGACAGAGAGATAGGGAAAGTGAGAAAGCACCCTCGGGGGGATGGCTATGCCACAAACCCTTCTCCTACATTCTCCTTTTGGGGTTTTGGTTGTGCACACCCACACGACTGGAGAGGTTTTCAAGCTGTCAGGTCCAGGACTTGAACCTCATAATCAGCCATGTGGGATCTAGCCACCTTAAACACCATGTCACTGGTCAAACTGAATTTTATTCTTTTTAAAGGATGGAAACTATCCTACTGTGTTTCTATACCACCTGTGGATTGCACCACTTATGCTGGCCAGATGGTCTTTTCCTTTGGGTCTCATGGCACTAGACTAAGTCCCTAGTGACTGAACTGAAAGGCCGTGTCGTGTGCAATAATCACCATTCAGTGATGCGACACATGTCCCACATCTATTAGCTTGTTCTCTCTACAGGGTGAGTTTCCTGCCTTCCTAAGGTAGCTCTTCCCTGGCTCGGGAGGCAGTCTGTAGAACTCAGACCTGATCGTGAGCCCACCCTACCTTGCCCTCCAGCCCAAAGACCCTCCTCTTTGGTAGCCACATGATTCTTTCACAAATAGAGTACCTGGAACTCTCCTGGTGCCACCCAGAATTTCTTAAGGAAGAGATGTAGATGAGCTTCTGACAACTAGTCTCACTGGAAAAATAAACACCCCCTAGTTTCCACAATCATAACACCAGTAAAATCTTTTTACTCTGATAAGTAGAAATAAATATTGGGTCATCAGTAAAGTCATGATGCATTTTTGCATAGAAAAACAGAAAAATACATCACACTTTTCCCAGTGACCTAACGTAAACTCTGGGATTAAGAGGAAAAAAAAACAAAACCTAAATTCTATGCACAAATTCCATAGAAGATGTCTCTATTTTCTGTAGGGATAAATTGTAAAAACAAATAGTTACTGAACTTATATTTTAAGCAGACTGAACTTCAGGAGATGTTTGCATTAGCCCTTCACCTCATGAGACTTACCTGCAGTGGAGATTTATGAGTATACACGAGTTGCAGCTCTGTCTCTGGCTTTTAAAAAATGTGTGCACCAAATCGTTTTAGAGCAGCCGAGAAGGTCTTGTTTGTACAAGTGACTAAGTGCCTTCATTTTCCAATCTCTGAAATGGGGAATAATGATGAAACCTCACTTGTAAAATCCTTTTGAGCTCTGCAGATGAAAGGACCTATGTCAGTATAAAGTATTGTTATTAAAATAATAGAATCTCTAATTAAAAGGAATAGGCTATTTAGAATTCCTTGTAAATTCACTAATCGGTGGTCTTTAAGCTTATTTAGTCTAATAGCTTTCTGAATTTGAGCTAATGCCGTTCATGTAGGAACGTGTGCTGTTTAGATGGTCTCTCTCTTTTTATTTTAATCCCAGGCTTAAATATATACAGCATCAACTTTAAATTAATGTTTGTGCGAGGACACATTCAGTGGTAGAGAAATTAGCATCACTGAGGGCTCCTTTTCTCTCTCTCTTCCCGTTTCCCAATAAGATAACACAATTCTTTCCTTTCCTTTTCTTTTCTTTTCTTTTCTTTTCTTTTCTTTTCTTTTCTTTTCTTTTCTTTTCTTTTCTTTTCTTTTCTTTTCTTTTCTTTTCTTTTCTTTTCTTTTCTTTTCTTTTCTTTTCTTTTCTTTTCTTTTCTTTTTGGCGTGAGCTTGAAGCTGCTGGGTCTGGGGCTTAAACTGTGATGGACTATGTGGGAGTCCAGCAATGTAACCATTACGCCATCTGCTGGTCCCAACACTATCCCTTCTAAAATATTACTCTTATATTTTTTAATATTGTTAGATTAAGGAAACTGTATGAACTCATGTTAAATTGATGTAGGATACTACAGGATACTCATGAAGTTGATGTGCAATACTAGCAAGTAATCTATACTAAAGACATAAACATTTTATTGGCTAAATTTACATTGTGATATTTTCCAGTTGCTTTCAGCGTTTTAACAAATTCTTTAGCCCAGGCAAGGAGGAATTTAAGTGAGATGGGAAAAAAATTCCAGGCAGAAGGAAGACAAGTCAATAGGCCTGAGGCACAGAGTAGAGGAGGGAAGGAAGCATAGAGCTGGTTAAATGTTTACTAGAATCTTCAACCTTCTGGAAGATAAGCATTATTATGTATATCCCCTTGTTTCAAGCTCTTTGTTCCAATAATATTTAAACTTCTGCTTTCTAACTTATCACTACCTAAGGACTGAGACACTAGTCATATCCAAAGCAATAATCTCAAAGGCTAAGAAGTTATGTTTAAATAATTGAAACTGTCCTCATAGACATCTTTCACCTCTTTGCATAGGTTTATTCATAGGTATTCTTTTTGTTGTTGTGATTACTGTAAGTGGGACTGCATTCTTCAATTTTGCCTCAGTCTAGTTATTGTTGGTGTATAAAAATGCTGTAGATTTTTGTATATTGATTTTTGTACCCTACCACTTTAAAGAATCCATTAATTATTTCCAGAGTTTTTTTGTATGGATTCTTTCAGATTTTCTATGTATGTAATCATGTCATCCTGCTCAATATATACTGAAGGTGTGGTAGAAATGGAGAGATTCAAAGATATAATAGTAGGGAGGGCAAATGTAAATACCAGAGGCTGTATGGGAGGGATTGATTAGTACGGGAGGGAAAAGACTTTTAACAGAGTCAAAGTTCTCTGTCAAAAATGATGGATATAATAATGTCCTTGATTTTATCATCACACACTGCCTGTGTGGTTTGAAAAACCATGTTGTATACTATAAAGATGTATTCAATACAATGACTGGGGCAGCAGGTGGCTTGGTGGTTAAGGTGCTGGGTGTCCACATGGTCGACTGAGCTTTGAGTCCCTAACCAGGTGACTTGAGTGTAAGATTGGATCCAGTATGTGTGTGCCCAGAGTCCCAAGACAAGAATGGAGAAGAAGGGATTGTGGGGTGTCTATCCCCCCTGGGGGGT